TTTTTTTTCTATTTGTAAGAGGAAATTAATTAGTATGTTTTTATTTTTAAAAACAAAATTCATCAACATTGTAGAAAAGGTAGCACTTTGACTACAACATAAAAATTAAGCTTTTGTTTGATATCAAAAACAATATATACTATTTTTTATCGATATTTACTCGAACATTTCTCGTTATTATGAGTTTCAGATCATCTAAATCTTTCATACTTTCTTTGTAATCAGTTGTTTGACATATTTCAAAACGATCGAATTATTGATGTATTGTTTCAAAACAGGTGATTCATGATTCTTCGAAAACTTTAATAGACGTGAAAACGAACAAGTTACAAAATTTTATAGTCCATCTGCAATTAAAATCGACTCTTTCTTTTCTTTTCCTAGAAATCTATCAGAGCAAGTGTTCATAAGGGATCTCACTCTTTGACAATAAGACTCTTGCCAATAATTGACGAAAGTCTACTGAATTTTTGTCAGCTGTTTGGCGAGAGTCTGGTAAGCTTTCATCAATTATTGCAGAACAATGTGGATGTAGTATATATGTAAGAATTATGCCAAACTTTATAAAGGATGTATCTTGGTACGTGCGCTTATAAATGTAATTTATACAAGTTAATCTAATCCATGTTTCAAGAAATGCAAATTGGGGAAAGTTTAGTGGACTTTTTCCAATTGACGAAAATCCAAGAAGTGTACTAGAGGGTCGAATAGACCTTCGCCAATGGTAAAAGTCTGATTAGCGAAAATCCGATTGGCGAGCCATAGGCATCCTGTTTATAAAGTCATGGTAAAAGACTTGAGTGATCTAAAGTTCATAATAACGAGAAAAGTTAGAGTAAATATCGATAAAAAATAGTACATATTGTTTTTGACATTAAACAAAAGCTTAATTTTTGTGTTGTAGCCAAAATGCTAATTCCTATAGTGCTAATGAGCTTTATTTTTAAAAATAAAAAAATATATTAGTTCCTCTTTCAAATAGAAAAAAAAGTTTTGGATTAAATTAGATCAATAGTAGAATTAAATGTATTTATACAGTTATCACGACTTATGGAACACTCTGCTAATTAGTTAACTATTATAAGTTTTGGGTGAGTTCGATTCGGTTCCAAACAATACGAATCGATCCCACCTCTGAATATCCAACCCACAGTCACAGCCACATTCACACCCTTTTCTTCTGTATTTTATGAGGAAATTTGTTTTTTTTTTGCGAATAGTGTTCGATAGCAAACGCAAAAATAGTTTCAAGTGTGTCTATGAATAAAAAGAAGTATTTGGCTTTGCAAGTTTTGTCGAATACGATTATGATTTGGAAAGATCAGACCAATGTAGTATTCTATCAAAAATTTAAATCAATTGAAAAACTTGTTTTTTGTCTGTTTTTGTGGCACAGAAGCACGTACACGTATTGATCTGCTAGGGTGAATGAAAGATCGTGGCATAGGACGAGCCACTTGTATTGGTATGTTCTCACTTGGCATAACATTAATTGAGGACGGTGACATGAACGTAGTCCTTGTCATTGTCTGTGACGGAACATTAAAAGGCGAATATGAATAAGACAGAGATGAATGTTCGCTAAATGAATCTGTCTTCAGTGTCTGTGAACTATCATTCGTGTACTGCCGTCGATAGTTTCGTAGATCTTCATCAGACACTTTACTATTGTTGTCAGGTGAATGACCATTGGCTTGTCTTCGGCATATTTCGCAGTGGGCATGCTCGTCTTCCGAAAATCTATGGCGCAATTTTCTCCTGAAAAAAACAACAAATTAAATTAAATTTAGAAACACAACTAAAACAGGTCTCTACGTACCAGAAGAGTAGTGGACACCATGGACAACAAAGACAAGTAGCCAATATGCACAGAACTAATAGTAGTAGTAGAATACCAAGACTTAAACCTAATCCAAGCACAAGAGGAAGGTGATTGTCCGATTGGATGGTGAATATTTGTGAGATCGACGAGGTGGTCGACGTTGTTGATGATGTTGTCGATGTTGCAGATGTTGAAGTAGTGCTGGTCGTACTGCTAGTAGCTGTTGTAGACGTGGTTGTTGTGGAAGTAGTTGTTGTGGAAGTAGTTGTTGTGGAAGTGGTTTTTGTAGAAGTGGTAGTTGTCGTCGTAGAAGTGGTAGTTGTCGAAGTTGTTGTCGTAGAAGTAGTTTTTATGAAAGTAGTAGTTGATGTGGAAGTTGTAGCTGTTACACAAGTATCAGAGGAATTTTTCACAATAAATGTAACGCAATATTGGGCAGATTGTAAGTATTCACTGATTAACAAAAAATATGAAGATATTACAATCATGAAACTCTAATTAAGAAAAATTTTACCTTGTGTATGCAGTTGTACATAACTGCTGCGATCCTACTTGATTTGTTTGTGGTGTCCAAGTGAATGTCATGTAGTAGATCGATGAATTTGTTGATGATTGTGTGAGATTACCATGAGTCATACTAGTAATTCCACTTGAAACTAGAATATCAGTTAGTGTAGCCACACTTGGATTACATAAATTCATTGCAGATAGATTAAAGCTGATTGAGATACCAACTTGTACTTCTAGACAACGATCTGGAGGAATAATTATAGGTTCTGTTGAACAAACTGGTTGTGATTGAACATAAATCAAAAATTGAACTGGTACTGAACTCATTGGTATTATACTTGTTCCATCGATAAAATCTTCAACCTATAGAAAATGAAATGATCATTCTCTACTATATATAAACAGTTAGATTATGTCATGAAAAATCTGCTAACATTTTTATAATATTCATAACATCGACTTTTTCAAGAGATAAGTGTCTGATATAAAAGCCATATATCATGTCTTTCGACAAAAAAATGATGTTTCTAATACGGTTGATTGTATATGGTTTTGTGGAACTCACATATATTTTCGAAGAAAATAGTGAGTGTAAGTTTTAATTCGAAGTTTTGCAGCTTCACGACACGCCTCCCTTCCTATTGTAGACATTACAAGCTGCCTTTCTCTCGTTATAGACTTTGTTAATATCAGTGTTTCTGAGCTGATCAAGTTATATAATCGTGCGTTAAGATCTGTTGCTGCTGTAGCTATAACGAATATTTACAACAATCTTGTTTTCCATTTAATTCAATGCTTATAATGATAAGAATGTTAAACAAAGAAAAACAAAATACGAAAATGAAAAACAACGAATGACTAACAATATTGCAAACAAAACATAGAGTATCCGTAAAAAAGGAACAAAAATTCTGTTTGGAATGCAGAAATAGATAAAGCGAATATTTACTTTGCTGGTTGTTTATCTTCGAACAGAAGTATAGTCTATGAGGAATTTTTCATTTCGCCTATTTTGTATTAGTTTCACAAGGCTAAAGAACATATGTAAGTTTCACATTTCAGCCTCAAAGGGACTACGTTAAGAAGCATTTCTGATGAATGAAGCGGCTCAACAAAAGTGGAATATTGCTATCATATGGTACAATATCGAAATATACTAATATTAATCGGAATTGTTCAATCAATATAAATAATGTCACCATCGTGGTCGAAGAATTAGTGACCAATGAATAATAGTCTACTTATCTGAATAGCAACTGCATACCAAACACCAGCTTGATTGCCTGTGAATGTGATAGTGCAGTTAGATAGAGTTGTACCGGCAGGTAAACTATTTGGATAACAAATACCACCACATTCATCGATCGCTTGACGATTGGCATAGGACAAAGTTGTTTTTAATGTTGGTTGAGTTTCGACTGTAGTGGTGGGTGTAGCTGTTGTGGTCGTACAACCACCGAGAGTATTGGATATAGGACAGTTTGAGCTGCCGCAATTGGTTCCTATGCACGTAGAGCCATTGCAAGGACAATTGTATGCACACGAGGTATCACAAGGATTGCCGAACCAGAACCTTTTCCATCTAATATGCAAATCTTCCGAAAGTTCAACCAATCTTTTATAATTTCCAACATTATATTTGCGAATTACACGGTCTTCGTCGTTCGATCGTCTTCGTCTTCGATATCCACTTGTATATGTTGACCACCGACAACGTACATCATCACCAGCATTGACATCCGAAACAGGAATATTTATTTGTATTGTTTTATTTACAATAGCATATTGTGGAGAAACAAATTTGGCAACAGGTGAAGTATTAATGAAACCATCTGATCGTTTTCGAAGATCAATGTATGTTATTATAGACCAATCAAGACCTTGTTGAGCGGGATCATTTAATCCTACCCAAGCACTTCCTCTATAAGCTAAATAAAAATGTGCACCAGCAGAGAGAGTAACATTTTTCGATTTTTCACTTGTCATCATTTTCAATGATGAACTAGATGATGTACAATCGGTGAGAATATTAATCGGTGCACTAGAATAACCACCATCAGTTGAACAATCAACTACGCAGGTCAGATTAGTATTGGCACCACTCCATCCACTAGTCGAGATCGGTACATTACTGGCACATTTTATATATGGATATGTCCATGAATAAGATTGTGTAATAGTAATTTTAACTGAAGTGGAATTATCATAAGGATTAACGGGAGCCCATCCAATAGTTCCTCCATTGAAGTGTGTTGCATTAGTAAAAATGAAATAACAAAACAATATGAACAAACCTAAGCACATGGTTTGTCACTACTTGAATCAATGAATTAGAATCTACAAAAGCAAATACATGTAAAAATATTATATGATGAAAAGCAGTCGTTATTGACTAATCAGAAAATCTCATATATTTATCTTTTGACAAGTAGTGTCGACATCGAAAAACAATTTCTATCAAGAAGATATTTTCTCAACGAATAGAATAAAAAAAGATAAGTTGTCTGACAAAGTTTGAAGGGAGATGAACTTTTTTTAATTGAGAAAAAGCAGTTTTGTCCATCACGGCAACAGTTGTAAATATCAATATGTATCAATTTTTTTTATATACAAGATTATTGTCTATAAAAGTGTCCATAAACTTTAAAAGTTAAAAATAGTTTCATGAGTTTTGTAAATGTTTTATCGAAATCACGAGCAAAGAGCATTTCGAAAATACAAATTTTTATATTCTTTATGTTCTTCGTAAGCGTTTTTTCTGGAATTTTATTCTTCTGATAATGCACTATGTGGACTAGAACTAGATATATTAGTTTGTAAGAATAACGTAATCTTTTAGTTTCTTTATCAAATAAACATTTCCAAAAAATAAAAATTTAATGTAAGTAGGAATACAAAACTCAATAACGGATAGCATATAAAAAATGGACCTATTGGTGTTTTGCATTTATTTCGATAGTATTAAAACGCGCAGAAGCAAGTTGTTTTAAAAGTACAGCTTTTAATGCTCTACTATCTTATATATTTCAACTGATTCAAGTAGGATTCGTTACTTTGGAATTGACGACGAAACAGATATATTTAAAATGCACAACTCCAAAAAAAACGAACTTTTTATGAATTTTTATTCTACGCAGTTTAACTCGTAAGTTTTCTTCAGTCTCTCGGTTAGTTTGAACCAATTAACAATAAAGAAATATCATTAAAGAAGCTATTTTAAAATTTTCAAAGTTGATTTATTTGTGTCTGAATAAATATTTTTGTTAATACACAACAATAGTATGCTAATGCTATTGCTATTCATATGTGAAATCGTGAATGTTGTTTTATCCTAATTGCTGTCAATCTTTATAAATTTAAGCAGTTGCATATCATGATTGTAAAGTTGATACATTACAGAAAATATGTTTATATACTGCACATTTACCAACCATATTTAGAAATTATTGAAAGCTTTGACAAACATAAACGAAGTTTCAAAGACAATTCTACGTATGAATGTCAATCTCATTAGCATGCAATTTTCATGTATTAACAATAATGTTTATTCAAAGACAAATAAACTAACTTTAAAAAATTTTAAAATACTTCACTAGTGGTATGGTTTTATTGTTTGTTAGTTCAAACTAATTGAGAGACTGGAAAAAAAACTTACTTAAGAAGTAAAGTGCGTAGAACAAAAATTGATAAAAAGTTTTTTTTCTTCTAAAGTTTCGGGTTTTAGATATATCTATTTCGTCTTCAATTCCAAAGTAACAAATGTTAATCGAATCACTTGAAATATGCAACATTGTAGAGAAATAAAAGGTGCCTCTTAAAAAAAATTGCTTCTTTACCTTTTTATACTATTAAAATGTATGCAAAATACTCAAAGGTTCCTTCTTTATGGTCATTCATTATTTTTCCTGACCTATAGATTTTACAGTCCCATATGCATTAACGACATAAATTTCCATACCTGTACATATAATTCTTATCACAATAGTATCAATTGTTCTTAAATATTATTGTTGCTCATTGGGATGTTTAAAATCTGAGGCATATATATGAAGGATGACTTCTATTCCTTTTTCTTTCTTGCTTCGCCAAAGTTTGTGGCGAAAGGAAAAAAAATTTTGATAAAGAAGTGATTAGAATTTGTTAGCATTTGCATGTTATATTATTCGAAATCGCACTAGTGATGATTACTTTTCAAGTTGTTTTCTACTTAATTAATATCCGATCACAATGAGATGCTATACTGATATTCACTACCAAAGTATAGTTGTGTATTATTTTTAAAAAATTATTGTAAACAAAAGCAAATGCACTTTTGGTAGGTCATACTACAAAATTCAAGATATATGTTCATTATGAAAAAACATGATGCAATTAATAAAAAAAAAACCATCCTATAGAATATTATCTAAATTTAATTATGAACACAAATTTTTCATTTGAAAAGATTTATTGAATACTATTCGATATTCAACTATGTACTTTTTATGAAAGTTAATATTGACAATAGTCAAGTTTCATTAAATCTGCCATCAATCCTATTATTTACTAAACATGAATAGGAAAGTTAATAATAGAAATCGAAGAATTTGTAAATTACTTCTATGAAAAGATTCTTTGTGTTTAATTCCAATCTTAAACAGTATAGTCTTCCCATCCTAGTACACATACACTACGTGTTCGGAGAAGATTTCAATATTATTATAATTTATCAAATATTAATCTTTAGCAAGTTTGTAGATAAATGTAGTTTATTTATAACAAAATCACAATGACATGCGTCTCGTAAAAAAACTTGTTCTAGCAGGGCCTGCGTTGTTGAAATGTTGGACTCATATATGTTCTTTAACCTGATTAAACTAATACCAAATGCGTAAAGCGAAAACTACCTAGCAGACTATAGTTGTTGTCCAACATAATTGGCCACAGCAGTGAAGATGTGTTTTATATTTTTTACGCCTGAGAAAATATCTATGTGTTCTACCAAATACCATGCGAAACTATCATAGAACGCTTTTTTGCAGCTGGCACGTTTACTTAGTTATCGTAAAGATACATAAATGTTTTTAGACTGCATTAGAGATTTTCAAGTTTTTCACAGTTTAATGGCTTTCAGTGTTTCGTGTTTTTTGTCCAAATAAAGTAACGACATATTCGAAATCACCGCAAAAAAACTGCATTGAATGATATGTAGTTTGCTTGTTTTTCAAGTAAAAGCATTTTAAATAAAATTTCAAGGAAAGTGTTCTTTCCAAAAATTTGCCATTTAAATTGTTGCTCAGATTTCACGATTATTATATGTTATTGTTTCTGAGTAATGGCAGCTGCTATCATATTTTAGCAGTGAAATATAAATCCATGAACATTAGACATTGTCTCAGTTTTCATTCACTTCATCGTACTCATATAAGAAAAAGTAATCAGTCAAGCAACATGCACATTTTAAGTGTTTCATTATTGACAAAATGGAACTTTCTCACTTTTT